GACTTTGTCATGGTCCCTTATCACTCATTTAGCAATGGTGACTTTGTCATGGTCCCTTATCACTCATTTAGCAATGGTGACTTTGTCATGGTCCCTTATCACTCATTTAGCAATGGTGACTTTGTCATGGCCCCTTATCACTCATTTAGCAATGGTGACTTTGTCATGGTCCCTTATCACTCATTTAGCAATGGTGACTTTGTCATGGCCCCTTATCACTCATTTAGCAATGGTGACTTTGTCATGGCCCCTTATCACTCATTTAGCAATGGTGACTTTGTCATGGTCCCTTATCACTCATTTATAACGCTACTACAGTGACTTTGCAGCTTAGAGAGCGTGTGTGCGCAGGCGTGTATTTACCGCCATATTGCCATATTGCCAAGTACATGTATTTACTGACCAACATATAAATTGATCACAAGTACTGTACTGTACAGCTGCAGGGGAGTCTTCAACTTCATACTGCAGTAAAACTTCAGTAAAAATGTACATGTACCTGCAAGGTACGTAAAAACCTGTACTTCAAAGTACTTCACTGCCGGATTGCAGTGCATGTATATGCAAGGTGTCGAATGACTGGTGTACAGTACTCGTAGTATAGTGCATGGTCCTCAAAATGGTACTCCCTATCCCATCTTATGCAGCTAGATCCAGGGTAGTGTATACTGAAGCTGCACTGTATTAGTTCAAGTACTCTTAGTACATGTACAGTACTGATCAATGAAATCCAGGCGCATCACTCAAGTACGCGCCATGCGTTGCGCAGCCATAGACCTGCGAACCCTGGGCTGCGAAATGATGCAAGGTGCAAACTTGAGTCACCCGACCAGATTTCATTGAGCAGGGCTGTACATGTTATCAGACTCTCCTATTTTCTAGTGTACAGCTTAGTTTTATATACCGGTAGCTTACAACTTATGGTTTTGTAGCACTTGTAGCGATTATCGACATTCCCCCGGCCCTGTAGGGCTCACTTCTCGCTAACGTAATTGTGTACGTTTTGTGCTTCACTCTGTGTTGACAGTGTTCTTGGCAGTCTCCTTTACACGTACGTGAAGTTTTCTGAGCAAAGGTCGAAACAGCCAAGCCCACCATCAAGCAATGTGTAACAATGATGGGTCTTCTACCAACGTGGATCGTTTCAATCTCATTCTCTTGGGCCACTGGTTGGTCTTAGGAACACTCGGATAGATCTTCTGTGCGTGACGTTTGTTGGCCTATTAGGAGTTGTTTTCCAAGTTCTGCTCATCTCTATTGCAGGCACGCTCTTTTAACAGTTTATAACAAAGGCACTTCCGTGGTGTTCCTCATCAGGCTCATCACTCACACCATCTGTCTGTGGAGCCTGTTAGTTTGTTGTCAGGTTTTGCAAGTTAACTACATACACTCAGCACTATTGTAGGCATGCCCAGGTTTTAACTTAGTAGCCATTAATGTCTCCTCCTTATGTGGTTTTAACTGTTTGGGTAATGTGCACAGGAGAAGATGCAGAAACTAAAGTGTGTTGCTACCTCCTATTGATATCAAACAATTAATTGAGTATATTCACTATTCACCAATCACCACCCAAGCAGGCCTTTAGGTGATATCATAACTTTTTTTAAATTTAACTTAGCTTCTGCAATGTAATACTTACTCCTCTGTGTAGTGAATCTACTGGTGATTCATTCGTAACCACTAGGTCACGGTGTATCTACAGCCACTAGTGCTGGTTGACTTCTTGATCAAATGTCTTTTCAACACCATAGTGAAAAGAACTTCACCCACCAGCACTATAGTCCCGAGTATTTGCACATACACCCCTCCTTATTAGTACCGGGTGATTTTGTATTTTCGTATTTATTCAACATTTCCTGGCTCGTCAAACGACTGCCAATAACAGAATGGATGTGTAATGAAGGGGGAGGGGGGGGGGGGGGGTAGAATGGACACGGTCAATACACTGATGTTGAATTCCAATCCGTAGCCTTGCTGTCGTCACATCTTGCATTCTTCAGCCTTTACTCATTTTCTCTTCATCAACTCACATGTTCTGCTTAGATTGTGACTTTTTAAACTTTCTTTTCTAGGTATAATGCAAGTAACAGTACTGACGAAAGGCATGTATTATCGTTCATACTAATTTAACACATTGGTTGGATGGACAATGAGTATTTGAAACGCACTCTATCATCGTGAGCACTAGGCCAGTACAGTACTTGTACACCGACCGCTGTTACAATGGAAGTGAGTACTTATACACCGACAGCTGTTACAATGGAAGTGAGCCGTCACGTGTTGTGTTGACCTTGTAAGCAGTTCTGGGCAAGTGATGACATGGCTACCAGCACCAACACGTACAGCACTGCTGATACCGGTTGTTTACTCTCTGATCAATGGACATTGATGGTGGCATGACGCCTCAGACCTGTGTATCCTTCTCATCAGTAGAAATGCATCCAATCACTATTGACTGCTCAGTCTAGAATGGCATGCTCACGCCATGGCAAGACAAGATAACCTTCATGAAGGTAAGAACGGGATGCAAACCCTAAGAAGCTAAAGAAATTGAATACTGTACATATGCAATTATGCTGCATGGAGTCCTTGCTATGATTGCTCACATCAGATTCTGCTGTTCATCAAGTCAATCACTATGACCTTCACCTGTACATACGTGTATGTACATGCGGCACATCCCCACTGCTCTTGCCTGCAACCCTATCAGCACTGCAGCGCTCTATCAAGGAGCCGTCCGTCGGCACAGCACCTTTCCTGCCTCGCGTCATATGCCCGGTTCTGCGAGCAGCATTGGTAACGCGGGACTGCGGATGTTGGCCGTTCCGGCGATATCTGAGCAACGCTGCCATCGGGGCAGCATATCTCAACACCCGACACAAATGCATTCTGCTGGCAGCATCTGTGTTTGCAAAGAAAGACAGGGAAAGTACAGTTTACACACAGGGAATCAATCCATTGATTACGACGCAGCTTACGTCACACAAGCAATCATTTAGCTAGAACTCGCCAATCGTTGAATAGAGAATATGCGATGATGTCATCATTTGAGGTGTTTTTCACAGAGCGGCATCACAAAACAATGACTGATCTGCCACTCCATATAAAGTGGCATCTACTGTCGTGGACTAATTGAAGTCCGATGGGATAACCGGGGCCGGCACCCTTACTGCTTTTAGCGCATACACTGTACACTGTACACTGTACTGTAGTTCACATACACACTGTAGAAATGGACCAGCAGTGCTTGCGGCTGCAAGGCCAGTGCCCCGTGGCCGCTTGACTTCACAACGGATTTGAATTGTCAATGTCCGCTACAGTATGTTGAACATGTCACATCCATGCTAGTAGTAGTACCCTGTAATACTGTGTATCTCAAGTCTCACGCACGCATACACACACACACACACACACACACACACACACACACACACACACACTATCCGGTTATTTGCATACAACTCACAGCACTGTCTTGTCGGACGGTACGATGGTAGGTTGACCGTTTGTACAGCGCACGCACCGCTGTGTTGCCTCATCGTATAGTTTGTCTGGTCCACAGCATCTGCGGCCAGGAGTCAACGCTCCAGGTGCAAGCTGCGATCGCGAGTCTGCAGGACAAGCAGTACAATGTGTACATGGTCAGCATTCATACGTGTACACCGTGAGCTGTGAACTTGTGATGCTGTCTGTACTGAGTACGCAATAACGTTATATGACCACTGACTTAGGGGCCATCCGTAAAGGCGTAAATATAGATATTTATTTAGAAACGAAAACTTGTCGTTTACGGGGAGGGGGTTAAGCGCCTGTTCGTTTCTCGAAAAATATCGATGTACATTTTGCATGTGTGAGCATGTCCAGAAAAAAGACCAAAAATATCGATACTATGTACCATTTGTATGTGTTCGTTTCTCAGGGAGGGGGAGGGGAGGGGGTTGAAGAGAAACGACTAGTTTTCGTTTCTAAATAAATATCGGTATTTACGGAAGGCCCCTTAGGGACATCGTTTATTTTTTATTTTTACAAAGACCACTTGAATGCCAAACATGAGATGCAGCTAGGGGAAGCACGCACAACCTGAATCGTGGCAGTGGTGGTGAGGTTTAGGGAGCTCCGCCGACCTAGGGCCTCGACTTCATGGCCACCTAGACGCACCAAATTTCATACGTTCCTTTCCTTTTTCCCCCTTTTTTGTTGTCAAAGAACAAAGCTAGAGGTGCACCAACAACAAGGAACAATTTGACAGTTTTTTTCCTGAATGTTTGCAAGCTTTTTCTTCTTTTGTTCTATTAAAATTGTGTTGCGTTGGGCTCTTTCTTCACATCTTCCTCTTCTTGCCTTTGCACTCTCCTGTAATGTAATGCAACTCATGAGATTCCCTCAAAAGGCATATACTATTTGCCTTTGGAAGATCAATGAAATATACTGAATGGAAACAAAATTAATGGTCTCTTTCGCAAAAGAAATCATGGCATTTGCGTATGATATCGGCACTGGGTGCTGAAATCAATATACACTGGACAACATTGGAAATTGAACTAGCGCTAAAATCACACATTTTACAGCAACGAGAGAGCTTGGAAGCTCAGGGCCCTACGCTATGCTTTGTTGCCTAGCTCTTCGTGCATATTGTTAGAACTGATGGAAGTGTTTTTTTCCTTTGATTAGCTACATCATTGTATTGCAAAAATGTTTCTGGAGTCGACGGGATGTCTGTCCTGACGTTTCCCGGAACCGGCGCTGACTGTGCCGATCACGGGCGTTCTGGACTCGACGGGATGGCTGCCCTGACATTTCCTGGGGGCGGCGCTGACTCTGCCGATCACGGGCGTTCTGGACACGACGGGATGTCTGCCCTGACGTTTCCTGGGACAGGCGCTGACTCTGCCGATCACGGGCGTTCTGGACTCGACGGGATGTCTGTCCTGACGTTTCACGTGACCGGCGCTGACTCTGCCGATCACGGGCGGTTTCCTGTGACCGGCGCTGAATCGCCCGTTCACGCATATTTTGGAGACGACGGGAACTCTCTTCCAAAGTATATTTTTGCTGACGCATCCTATCATCTATTCGGCGTCTGTTCTATTTCCTCCTCGTCTCCCTATTTCTTTCCAAATCTCCCTCTACATCAGGGAGTCGTATACATAATACGACGAATAATGTGGCCAGCTGTTTGTGGCCAGCTGTGTTTACGGTACGGTACGGGACAGATACGGAATTCAGCAAATATTGTGGCCAGCTGTTATGTACAATCCTGTACAGCCTTTGTAGTAACAGATACAGGACAGATACGGGATAGCTACAGGCGTGACACAAACAAACAAACAAACAAACGAACAAACAAACAAACAAACAAACACCAAATTAAAGCTGTGTGGACCCTGGCTAGCGCCAGACGTTACTGAAGTAACGTCTTCTGCATAGCTACGGGAATAATTATCAATGGGCGAGCATCTAAAGTGTCAGTGTGTTTCCATCACTTACCCGAGCAACAGGTGCTGACAGCAGTGTCATACACAACTTCACCGCAACATTCATACCGTGGCAACGAGCCAATGCTTAGGTGCACACTGGGCAGCGCCTTCAGTGATCCCCGGCAACATATCTCTTCCAGACGACTGCAGAAAATGAAGTAAGAAGAATAAGGGGCAGTTAAACGGTTGAAGACTGAAAACAGCCACTGTGCTTTCTTGTACAAGTATTTGTCAGAATGTTATTTTGTCTTTTTGGTCCAAAGAGGTGTATAAAGTAAATTGAGTCGCAGGCTAACAGCTTTTCGCCGATGTCCTTCAATCAGTTTCAGCATTCATGAATGGTAATTTTCACCAGACAAACTGCCTATTTATTCTGCCGGATTTTCCGGAGTATAAGCCGCACTTTGAACACTCAAAATTCACCCCAAAAGGGGGGGGGGTGGGGGTGCGGCTTACACTCCGATGATCAAATCGACGGTGGTAAATAGGATAGATATCTGTATTTCGTGACAAAACATGGGGTGCGGCCTATACTCTGGAAAATAGGGTAATTTGACGTCCGAACTAGAGTGTGTGTGCTGCCCACCAGGACAATGTACTACAACCTATTTCAATCACGTTCTCAGTTTCAAGTGTCAGATCTCACCTTGCACCACAGTACTGCACACGCATACTGCACATGCACTAGGGAGTCAGAGCATCTAAGAAGATACCACAGGCCACGGTAGAGCAAAATGATGTGGATTTCAACCCCGGGCTGCCTGCTACAGTCGCCGTGGGGAAGGTCCAATTTATGCACCCTTGCATGATGGTATGTATCGTCTGCCTGAGCTGCGCTTGGGGTCAGCAGGTCAAGTGAGCAATCACCATCGAGAGTTGCATAGAACACGGATCGCGTAGAACTTTCAAATCCTTAGTTGAAATGCATATCGTTATGGGTACTATGATCTTGTTTCGTATCCCTAGATGCTACAACTCTGTGATGTACATCTACTGCATGCACACATCTGCATGTACATAAAGTGCCCGTACTGCCACGTAGATCCCACTGACCTGTACGCTTGGTCTCTACAGCATTGGTATGCACCATTGTTCTCCACAACATGTTGCCGACGTAGACATACAATGCACCTCTGAGTTAGGCGATTGTACACCGTGCCATTACAGCATGCGTGTGTCCGTGTGTTGAAAATACTGGTGTCTCCACAGCAGGACCATGATGCTGTAACCGTGTTTCCAGGCGGAGCGGCAACAATCTTACTAGAGCAACACCTCGCTTTACCCTGGTCATATGCCTGATACAAGTAGCAGAAGACAAGCAAACGCACACATGCGCGTGCACACACACACATACACACACACACACACACACACACACACATACACACACACACACATACACACACACATACACACACACACACACACATACACACACACACACACATACACACACACACACACACACACACACACACACAACCGTACCACAGAACTGATACACATACATACCATACTAGCATTAGTTTTCTGCCATGATATCATAAAGGTTCTTTTCGGTGTTGGATTGAGGATGAATGATTAGAGAGGGTTTGACGAATCAGATGACCTGGTAGCAATGCACATGTCCTTTTTCAACCACTGACCGACAATTCACAGCTAGAATTCCACCAGCGCCCCACATGTGGTTGGTCAAGTGAAGCACAGTGATTTCACCATCCTCTAGCTACAGTACATGCAAGCCGGGATACGACTACCACATTAACAGCTTACCTTGCCAGCGCAACAACCTGAATTTGCCGAGACGGCGTCGACGAGAATTTCAGCGCTCTGGTCACAGCACACTTTCTCTGTGACGTTGTACGGAAGGCCTCCACAGCACCTGGCCGGAATTCCAAGCGGTTGTACCACCCTGGGAGAGGTTCGGTCTGCATTGCACCACAGACACCGGTGACTGCTTGGGTTGTATGGGATGTTCGGTCCAGGGCAGCACCTCAGATCTACAGAGATTGTGTTTGGCCAGGTGTTATGAAGCTCTCCAGAGCAGCAGATCTGAAAATCAGCCGTAATAAAATTATTAACGCTGAGAAGAAATGTTATTGCATTCTTGTCTCCGAGGAAACGGTTTTAAAGTAAAATATTAGCAGTGTGTTCATCTCTATGCTTATACATGTAGCACATCTCTCAGAGGATTGGTATATTTTGCAGCAAGCCTGCTTTATACAGTCTAGATCGTCTGGTTGTACAGTTTCTTCTGTCATGCACCCTAGCTATAGAACACTTCGTGCTAGTGTAGTAGCTGGCCCCAGAGACACAAATGTAACTCCTACACTAGTGCTGTCTGGTGATCCCTTTAGTTTCAGTGAAACAGCATCTCATCTGTGTGTGTGTGTGTGTGTGTGTGTGTGTGTGTGTGTGTGTGTGTGTGTGTGTGTACGAGCATGCACGCACGCCCCCACAGACTCTGGTACATTGAGTATTCCTGCACATTGAAGAGCCTGCATGCATATATGTAGTCTTACTTTAGTATTGGTGTTGTATGGCTGGTTAGCACAGCATGACACCGTGCCACCGGGACCACCACTGGCTACAATACTAGCATGACTGAACGACTGGTCCCTGCAGCACCGGTGACTTCTAGAGCCGCCATCTTGCTTGTTGCCCATACAGCATGTTGCCACTGAGGGATCATAATACTCAGTATCCCCACAGCACTGATACCTGAGACCAGCTTGTCCTGTACAGGAATGACATGGCACACAGCAGTACTTCCTTCAAGAACACAGTAACTGTTTTGTTGACTTTACTTTCAATGCCCACATGTGAAGCCGGTTGTGGCCATTCCTATTCCAGAGAGTGTTCAAAACAGTGATGTACAGAGCCATCTACAGACAAAGAAGATTGCAAAACTGGTGAGCAGTAACTCTGCATTTCACAAATTGAAGCAATTGTCAAACAGCAATCATGTATCATCGCAAACTAGTCAAACGTGGCAATGCAGCTGCTGCCATTGCTACAGTTGCTGCTTTCGTTTCACTATGCACATGGTTGGCAATGAACTTGTAAAACGTGACAAAGGTCCACGCACGCCGTATCCACGAGTTCATGGGAACCAGAGGGTGCAGCTCGAATGGATTGCTGTCAGTGTGAAATTCCTGGAGTAGGTCATGCTAGTGATGCAGTGTGTGATTAAAAGCAGGATTCAAGCAGGTCTCATGCTGCACAGCTGAAACTCTGCTATATGTACCGTGCCACTTTCGCCTCCTACTGAGTAGTAAAATCGCAATAGGTTGCAACAGAGCTCTCTGCCTATGGTGGTGGTGGTCGTGGTGGTGTGCAGGACATGTGGGTCGCCTAGGAGTGTGATGCCTTGGTGATGCCAATGTTCAAATTTGCTTCGTTACGGAAAGGAAACTCCACTGGACCTCATGAACATGACGGCATCTGGGTAGTGCAACCCATGCACTGCGGACACTGTGCTGTGCACTACGCACTATTCTGCTTTGAGCCACTCATGATGTCAAGATTGCCCATTCCGAAACACATTCCTATTACGGGCTTACCTGTGAGGCGGGGCTGTATGCTATCACCACAGCACATAGTGTTTGTTTCATCATGTGGCAAGCCATTACAGCAGCCAGTACGCTGCACTAACGTTGCATCCAACATATCCAGGAAGTAGTAGGGACTTCCTTGGCCTGGACATTGGCGACACGCTATTGTCGGTGGCAGGCTGGCAAGTGCAGGGCAGTCTGCAACACAAGCAGCACACACCGGCACAGGAATGGGCATGAAGACCTACATCTGCATATGTAAATGGCAGCAGGGGGGGGGGGGGGGGGGGCACATCTACCCATGAACACTGGATTACACATGGCATACTGGGTCAGACAGTTTCACTGAAAGAGAAGGAGTCGACCTCACAGCCTGTGCCACTAGAATGTGCAGAGTATAGATACACACCTGTCAGGCTCTTCTTGATACTTTACTTACTGTTTTGGAAAAGCTGGAATTTCATCTACAGCCACAAAACAAACCAAGAAGCAAAGAACTGGCACTGACATCTTGTCTGACATCTTGTCACAGTCACTGTGAGTGGTATTTAAAAAACTCAAACTACTCAATAGCCTTCGCAGGGAAGGATAAGCGCCTGTTTTATAGTTACATCATTTTCAGGGAACAATCCAAGACTGTCATACACCAGCCATGCACACCTTACCTGACACACTGGTTTGCTAACTTTGGTCAGCATGCCTCCTGCAAACTCCAGCCAAATCCTGCAAAGAGGAAATCGTGGGCATACAAGTATGGTTAGTATCTCGAGAAAACTGCACGTAGCTTGGCAGGAAGGATACACAATACCTACCCAGAGTGTTGTAGCTCATCTACCTTACTTATGGGTAGTAGAGCTACTGTTCTTAGTAAACAAAAGAGAAAGAAAGAGAGAGAGAGAGAGAAACAGAGAGAGAGAGAAAGAGAGAGAGAGAGAGACAGAGAGAGAGAGAGAGAGAGAGAGAGAGAGAGAGAGAGAGAGAGAGAGAGAGAGAGAGAGAGAGAGAGAGAGAGAGAGAGAGAGAGAGAGAGAGAGAGAGAGAGAGAGAGAGAGAGAGGGAGAGAGAAACAGAGAGAGAGAAACAGAGAGAGAGAGAGAGAGAGAGAGAGAGAGAGAAACAGAGAGAAAAAGAGAGAGAGAGACGTAGATAGATAGAGAGAGAGAATGATTTAGGCTGTGTACTGTTGTGTGTTTCCTATGCACTTTCATGTGTGCTCTTCCTTAGGGTATGGTCTGTGGAGTACTGCTTGCACCAAGGACCACCATAGACATGTTGTGTAGTTGTGCATAGCAACTGCACGTACTTACACGAAATCAACACAAACACTTGCGTCTCCAGGTGCTCTCCACACCACACGGGTTGCATTGCTTTCCATGCTCCCAGCAACTGACGAGTCCGCTGCACAGTCTATCACATTCTTGAAGGACGTGTACAGGGTTTCCGATCCAGAGCGATGGCGTCGTATAAAGCTCCCAGAGTGCTCTGGACTGTCAACTGGTTGTGGCGATGACATCATATAGCACTTGGTGTAGGGTTGTGCTGTCTTCACGGATACTGCACATAGAATACAATAACCCGCGAAAATGATGTGAGTACAACTTTTTGTTGAGCATTTTTTCATTAATGCTTTACTCTCAGTCTTTGACAACAGCACAAGGAAATAGGCTCATCTGAATGCTCACCCATGAGGGCATCACTACGGTACATGCAACTCATCTCGTCGAGTGCACCAGTTGCACGAATGCAAACAAGTAATACTATTCGCATGTCATGCACACATGATCCACCAAACTCAGTGAAGTTACAATCATTTTTCATACCACTAAAACGATTACCACGGGAGAAAAATAGAACTTCTTCAAATGCATCATACATGCCTTCCAACAGCTTGCATTGGTATCTTAGAATGAACCTTTAAAAGCTATGCCCCTCTAGTTTGACCAAAATAAATTCAGCAGGGGCTTACCAAGATATGTCTGATCAGACCAGTAATGCATGAGTTCATCGTTGGAGACACCTTGCTCCTCGCTCCAGCCTCGCAGTGATATCTCAACATCATCCCTGGTCTTCACCGGACCGGGATAAACTATCGGCGCTGTTTGAGGTTTGAATGTCGACGGGGCATTGAAGCGAGCAGCACTCAGTCCAGGCAGCTCCACGTAGGTCAGCTGAGTCACGTCATGATTGGTATGAAAAAATATATCAAATGCGGATAAAGAAAAGATGTGAGTATAGTAGCACACAGAGCCATGTGAGCTGTAGTACTGGTATGCCATGTGAGCTGTAGTACTGGTATGCATTGAGCTGTAGTACTGGTATACATGTGAGCTGTAGTACCAAGAGTACATAACCCCCAAGAGTGTGCAACTCCAGCTATGGGGTCTGCGACGGCAGAACTTCACATCACGTGATGAACCCATACACATTATGTGCACTCTGTGCATGATAGATACAGGGTTGTACGCAGCCCAGCTTTGGGTACAACTCTCTTGTGGTCACTTTGCACTGTTTGCCAGCATAACCTTTTGAACCATGTCACGTGATGTGAAGTTCTGCCGTCGCAGCACAGCATAGAGGTTGTCCAGGCAGTTGCACACTCTTGGGGGTTATGTGCTCTTGGTAGTACCGTAAAGTACCGCCAGAGTGCCCCGTCTCGCGAGAGCGCCCCACCTTGATTTTACAGCCAAGGGAAGACACTCGTATGGCAGAATGCTACCAAGTTTGTACGGTGTGAGAACCTTCGTGTACTAAGGTCACGCTTGTCATGTTTTATGTGGAGCTCGCATCCGCTTGAAAGTAAACTGGATACGGATTGACTGCAATATGTGTACAAGGTCCGTGTCGTATGACCTACAGACAGGAACCACCTCCACAAGACGACCACGAAAGGACGAGATGGTGGGGCGCTCTGGCGATACTTTACGGTACTGGTATACATTGGTTTAATATGTACTGTAAGCCAAATACAGTCACTTTCAATGCAGATCTCAACTGCACTATTCCTGTAGCACTCAGCTACTGGCTGAAGTTGCATACAGCATGTTTTGATGAAGTCATCCAACGCGTGTCTAAGCCTGTATGTGAACAGCTGTATAATCCTGTCTGCTATTTTTGACTGTGCATAACACCCTCATTTCACATGGCTGCATGTCTTTTGACAGCGGCCTGAAGTGACAGGTACACTCTAGCACATGCAAGAGAAGAAACACGTCTTGCATGTGTATGCTCATTATAGGCTTTGGTTTGAAGACAAGAATAAAAAACGTTCCGTGAAGTATGTGTGCGTGTGTACAAACACCTGCACACGAACACATGTTAGCGCACACATGCAAGTGCACACATGAATACATGCACACACACACACACACACACACACACACACACACACACACACACACACACACACACACACACACACACACACACACACAAACACACACACACACACACACACACACACATCCAGCCTACCCTGCACAGCTGGTGGACATGTTCTTGCAATCTTCTATCACCTTGGTGTCCAAGCCAAAACCTTTCAGCGCACATACACCATGACACAAACAGCACATACACATTTTACGCATGCAGCAGGGAAAGTCAAACGTTCTCCAGGACATGTCACCCCTTATACTTCAATGCTTGCTAACGTAGGAGACATGCACAAGTTACTATGACAGGTGCAGTGAGAAAGAGGGAAAGGAGTAGGAGGTGAAGGAGAAAGAAAAGGAGGAGGAAGATGAGGAGGAGGAGGAGGAGGAGGAGGAGGAGGCCAGACGAACAAGAAAAGAGGGGAGAAGAGAGAAGCAGTAAAGAACTTGAGTGCTCACCTGAGAAGAACGCATGGACTATCTGCAGACGGAGACATCCACGTGAGAAATATGCTCTGGCGAGGCTGGAGATTGTCATGATGACAAGTGACTGTGTTGGAGTAATCCAGATAGCACTTATCTGGACTGTTCATTGGCTTGTCCAGGAAGTAACCATGACGATCAAGATCACGACTTGACACATCCTGACCAGTTGATGTTGCATAGCACGTTGTAAAACCAGGATCTGCACTTGCCACAGTTAGCCTCACTGCATGGGAAAGGAGAGGGGAGAGAGAGAGGGAGAGTGAGAGAGAGAGAGAGAGGCGAAAGGGCAAGGGAGGGTATATAAGTATGCGCTTCCTCCATAAACTAATTCAGTTCATTGCGAGTGATTATCATACAGGAAGCATGCCTCGTTTTATCTCACGTAGGAAGTGCACACAACCTGATTGTAAGGTAGTACCAGCCTGAGTCTGCGTATGCAAGTGAGCTAGAACGACGCATGCATCTCGAGCAAAACATTTCAAAGTTGATTGCAAATTACTCCAAGAGATCTTCAGTGTGACTAAACCACTGGTCTGACTCCCTATTCATGTACATGCATGAACCACTGGTCTGACTCAGGGGCGTAGGCAGGGGGGGGGGGGGGTGCTTTGGGTGCCAAAGCACCCCCCTCAAAAATTTCGATCTTGGTTCACAGCTACACTGTAGCTGGTTCGAGAGAGACTATAGCAGACCCGCTGATCACATGCGCAACTCTGCACATCGCACACTGTAGCCATCCCTGTTTTAGACAAGGGAGTAGTAGGTACTACTCCCTGGTTCAGACCTGCAAGTACAATGTATCTGAAACCAATCCACATGCAGTGGACTATAATAGTATAAATTTTTGTCTCATGTCATGATTGGCCATTTTGCAATGAAATTTCTAGTCAAGGGAACTCCGCTTCGTACCTGCCGTTGTGCAGTGTCACATCAGGCCTCAGCAGGCTCAGCACATAATTTGCATCACACTCCACATGTTTTGTTAGAACCAAAGAATCATACAAACACGCCATTGGTAGAAGGAAGGAAGTAGCAACGCGGTCTATGGCCGGAAAGCACACATCAGACATAGCAGTTTGTTCTCGCTATGTTTTGTATAATGTAGTTCTCGCTCTTAATTGGTCTCGTTGTGGAAAGGCAAAGTTTCTTTCATGCATTGCAAGTGTGGATACAGCAGCAGAAGAGTGAAAGTAACGTTGAAGTGCAGTTCGAGTTTTTGTGGGAAAATAGTGTAGGTTTGATCAAGGATGCCTTACTGCACTATCAAACATGACGAAGGGGAAAAATGGCTCGAGAAATCCCACTTTAAAAGTTCGATGGAGAGTGTGATAATTCTGGAGAAAGCAGCATCCAGGACTTAGTCCATCATTAGTTGGAAGCAGGCCAGGGTGTAGTAAAATACCATAATCATTACTACTCCCTGGTTAGCGATTTGCGGCCATTCACAGTGATTGATCTTCAGCGTCGAATTAGGGTAGGGTCCAGCGGATTCTGCCGGCAGAAAAATTGGCAGAATTCGGTGCTTTTTCTGGTAAGTTTCATCCATGTTTGGTATGTGGATAAGGAAATGGAGCAGAATTCGAGGAATTGCCCGCCATAAGGTTTGTATGGTTCTGCCAATTTTACTGCTTTTCGAGCAGAATCTTCCACCTTTTCGAGCAGAATCCGGGGTCCCTAAATTAGGGGCGAATTTTGCTTCCCCCCCATTTCACGGATCGAATAATATGCATGAAAGGACCAACATAAGTGCATGTACTTTTGTGTGGGGAAAGTCGTGGCACCCCCCTTGATCACTATCCTGGTTACGCCCCTGTGACTCCCTATTCATGTACATTCATGAAACCATGTGTTTGCCGTGAGACATGTGTTAGAATATTACAGAACTTTAAAGCTGACCTCGGTAGATAGAACTTGGTCGGAAGGAGAGAGCATCTTCAACTGCAGCCCAAGACTGACTCCGATTGTCCCACGTCTCCATGCGAAGGCTAGCTGTGTCCACTCGATCCGTCGGCAGCGGAGGTTGGAAATTAGGCAGTGCTAAGGAACGGCTGTTCGGACACACCGATATCCATTCAGTCTATGATACAAATGCACAGTGGGCAGCCACATGCTAATAGGCATACTGTTTATAGTATACACGGATTCTAGTAGCTTGGATCATGCTCTATATTACATTGATGCTATCTGTTCTAATGATGCTGGCACACGTATGTTCACATTGTATTGATATGGTAGGGGACTTGCATTGGTTCAGTCACTCTGCCGGAAGCCGGAGCTCAACTGTATAGCAGCTCCATGGAAGAAGAAATGAGTACGCCCTGGTAAGGCACACAACCTGGCTATGGCATAATGTATGTTTCTATAAAACTTCTTTATCTCACTGGTATCCTTTTAGCAGTGGGCGCCATTCTCCTCCTGCCCTTTGATTGACAATTTTATGCCCCAGAACATAGAATATAATGTACTAGTACCGTAAAGTACCGTTGATCCGCCCCCTCTCTAATTCCAGCCCCCTCTCTAATTCCCGCCCCCTGTCGATTTTCTCCTTGTGAAGCGACTTTGGCGTATACAACGAAATACGATGTTGAACCGACGCATGCACTGCTGTACACAATACTTGCCAATCCAGGATCAAAATGTGCACAATCCAGCACATTGAGTGTGATCCTCTACGTTGTTGTACATCGTACTGCACTTGACAGCCTTGATCTAATTCCCGCCCCCTGCCGAAAACCCAGCTGGGAAGCGACATGGCGTGGGGCCGGGGGGGGGGGGGGGGGGGGGGGGGGCGGATCAACGCTACTTTACGGTATATGGTTGTCTAAGGAGACAGACTTACCTTGCAGTATCGTCGCTCTGAGTAGACTGCTTCGTTGGATGCAAGTATATGCCATACCCTGTATGACACAGCACAGTGAACAATACATGCACATGCTCACAATTCCTTCAGAGGTCCGAGTTCAAAGGTCCGAGTTCAAAGGTCCGAGTTCAGCGGTCAGAGTTCAACGACCAGAGTTCAAAGTTCAGACGAATTAATACAGTGCAGCAGTATTGTTCATGTTGAAGAGAGAAAGTTTACTGCTTTTGAGCACCCACAAAAGTCACAGAAGGCAGCAGTTTGAGTAGTACCCGACAAGTACCCACCCAGTGGAACCAGAGCTGAATCAATTGCCTGGTATTCACAGAATATCAGGCATACATCCCCTCTTTACCAATGGCAATGCCATTCAAACATGTAGTTCATGGCTTTCCCCTCTTTATCCCTGACACAGAGTTTTAAGTATCTCAAAGTTCTATACAAAGTCCACTGTAACCACATGCCTACCAGCCTTTAAAAGGGAAGTTAAGGCAAAAATTAAAATTTCACCAGTTGTAGTCTTCGGGGTGCTGAGTCGAATGGTCTTGGTCCGAGAAAGCTGAGACGCTCCCTTCCTACTTGAATCCCAATCGAACTCGCGCACTTCCACCGAAACCGGCTGGGTGACTGCGCCCTACTAGATGGGGATTTGTATGCAAAATGTCACCAAAAGCGCCATTTTGTTCTTATAAAAGCACGGATGACCGCGATTGGCCCATATGTTGTAGTCTTTTGGACGCTGAGTCGACTGGTTTTGGTCCGAAAACGCTGCGATGCAGCGCTCCTCCTTTATTCCCAATCGAACATGGTTGAACAAGCGGTCACGTACTCGTGGGTGCCCAAATCACCTGGTCACCACGCCAGCAGGCGACAAATTTCACACCAAGGTTCAACTCGAGTGACAGGAGTGCACCCAAAAAAGGTCAAACAGGCTAGTAAGTTGTACCCTGCAGGCACGGTGACCAGGTGACTGGTGTACGCAGGAGCACGTGACCGCTTGTTCAAGCATGTTCGATTGGGAATAAAGGAGGAACGCTGCATCGCAGCCTTTTCGGACCAAAACCAGTCGACTCAGCGTCCAAAGGACTACAACATATGGGCCAATCGCGGTCATCCGTGCTTTTATAAGAACGAAATGGCGCTTTTAGTGACATTTTGCATACAAATCCCCACCTAGTAGGGCGCAGTCACCCAGCCGGTTTCGGTGGAAGTGCGCGAGTTCGATTGGGATTCAAGTAGGAAGGGAGCGTCTCAGCTTTCTCGGACCAAGACCATTCGACTCAGCACCCCGAAGACTACAACTGGTGAAATTTTAATTGTTGCCTTAACTTCCCCTTTAAAAGCACTGTGATGTGGTGGTTCTTGGGTTTTTTTTAATCATGGTTCGCGCGAGACTCGGCCAAAGGCCCAGTTTTCCGCATCCGCAGGAACGCCACCACCCTCTTGGATCAAGGCGCAGATGCAGCTCCTAAGCGGTGGGAGCACTGTTACTTGTTTCGCCTTGATGTATACTTCTGGAGAGAGAGAGGGGGGGGGGGATGCTTTACAGTACAAAGAAAGAGACATATATTAGTTTTGATGATGCTGAGTAGCAGTCCGGGGTTTCAACATGAATGCCTTTTTCCTTGATGATATGTTCTTAGCACTAGCTTTCATCCTCACCTAAATGTGACGCATTCTGATTCTGCTGGCGATGTCCAGACAACATTTGTGATGTTTGTTGGTTTTGAGTTGGAGCACGTAATGACATTGCTGTGCCTGGAAAAGCAATCAGATAGCATCGACATCATCCACAGCAAATCATGGTTATAATCAAAGTAATGCTTGAGCTGCCACCAGCATTGAGTACAGATATGGCTAGCAACACTGGTAAGGCCATTGCTGTACAAGTCTAATGCCAAATGTTCATAATGACCTCATCATGTCTTCAACGACCTCATCATGTCTGCAATGATCTCATCATGTCTGCATCGACCTCATCGTGTCTGTGTGTAACTACTACAGTACTACAGTAGCTACATTAGTGCCGTTGTATGGCCTATCCATACGGCACGGGACTTCTTGTATTGGGCGAGTGGGCATCTTCTTCATCAGCAAAACGGATATGTAATTAACGTGGTAAAGCATCCACACATGGAATACAGGGTGTGCATGATGCCAGCATAGAGGTGCTTCAAAGATAGAGATATGCAGGTGGCTTATAATTGACCTTTGGGACTGTGACCAGTCACAGACCCACCTACACCTACACCTACACCTACACCTACACCTACACCTACACCTACACCTACACCTACACCTACACCTACACCTACACCTACACCTACACCTACACCTACACCTACACCTACACCTACACCTACACCTACACCTACACCTACACCTACACCTACACCTACATGCCCTAGAGCTGACAGTACCTTCCTACTTGAAACGCATGATTATTGCACAGCTCTGACTTTTAGGTGATCCGTATTATTTTTCATTGTCCCGTTATCAAGTTGTTCAAAGCCTCTACATGTCCTGCCTGTAGTGGATGTTACAACCGAACATACCCCATCCAGAACATACCCCGTCCAGAACATACCCCATCCAGAACATACCCCATCCAGAACATACTCCATCCAGAACATACCCCATCCAGAACATACCCCATCCAGAACATACCCCATCCAGAACATACCCCATCCAGAACATACCCCATCCAGAACATACCCTGTTGCCCCCGTAGGCGACGTTGGCGACAAGCAACACCCGTCGTATGCAACTTACTTTGCATCCACTGCTGCACTTTCTGTAGTCTGGGCTTCATGTATGACTAACACTGCTATTGATGTATTGACTTTCAGTCGGCTCCAGTTACAACTGCCGGTACACATGATACATGAACTGTCTGACCCCTTTCATGCATTCGTATGCAGCTGTCACCTAACACCTGTTGTGGAAATCTCCTACAAATCTCCTACAACATTTAATCGCACACAACCAGCACACTCACTTCACGAAACGGCCACTGTACGGCTACAGTTAGATTCTATCGAATGAAGTGAATGCATGGGATATTAGTACTGGTGAAATTATGTGGGAGAGCACTAGGATTGGCTAGTCCAGGCAGACAGAGACAGAGACCTGGATCGTGCGCGAAAGGAAACCATGGAATGCCATAATCAGACTAACAACACAGATGATTGTATAATGTACCAAGGAATGATTACTGCCGGCACACCTCCGTGCAGAGTGTCTAGTCTTGTCAGCCAGACGTTCACAATATGCTTATGATAATAATGACATTACATGCCTCACCCAATACTGAGAAGAGCCAAACCACTAGGTTGTTACAAGCACCTCTACACTCTCTAGGCAATGTTGACACGAATCAATGCATGCTCTACAGTCATATCTACACAGGGAATGCATGTCACACTGTACTGATGATGTCACCACAATTCCATTTCACCCCTCCGCCTGGTGACATACGAGGGCAGCACTAGAAGTCATAACACGGTTTGTAGTAGCAGATAGCATGACAGTGCTCATGGACGATAGCGAGATGGCAAGCTGATCGTGTTGCGGTCACGCAACTGCCTTTGCGGTTCAGGGAGGCGAGCGAGCCGATAGCCGTGCCAGTCAACGTCTTGGTCAGCATCGTCATCGGTGGAATCTTGGATAGGCGGGAGAGGATCGGCACCCTGAGTGGGTGCGGGACTTGGAGGACGGCCGTCAGACTTCAGGAGGTCCACGTTGATGACCTTCTCAGCACCATCACGGTTTATTACGACGGTCGACGGGGAGATAACTTTCGTGACCGACCAGCCCGGTTGAAACGGAGGCAGACGCTTCTGGTGGCGCGAGGGCTGTTTCAGTTGGACAGCATCACCGGATTGGAAACGGCAAGCAGCATCGTCGGCACGGAAATCACGGGAAGACATGGCCGAGTCGAGGAGATCGCGAACACGGGCACACCGTTCGGCATGCTCAACCTGCCAGGCAGGCGACTCCAGATCGGCGCTCAGAACGATCGTCTTCGGCTGCCAGCCCAGCATGGCCATCATCGGGGTGATGCTCGTAGCACGGTGGGGTCGAGTTCGGTAGTGATGAAGAAGTACCGGCAGATCTGGCACCCAGTCAGTGGTGTCCTCGCCTAGCTTCCGGATCATGGTCAGCAGGGTGCGGTTGAACCGCTCGGCGGAACCCTGCGACTGGGGATGGCGCACGGCGCCGGTCTTGACGGTGATGCCAAAGGCGTCAAACAGGGACTTCACGAGGGCGTTGGAGAACTCTGAGCCATTGTCCACGCGGATAACGTCGGGGGCACCCCATCTGTAGCACAGCCGGGTGAAAGCAGCAGCGACGGACTGCCCATCGTGGCGAAGCAGTGGTACGACCTCTGCCCACTTGGTGTAAGCATCGACGGCGACGAGAACACAGGAGTATCGACCACTGCGGTCCGTCCCAAGCTCGAGGGTGTCGATGACCACAGTACTCCATGGGCGGCTGGGAATATCGGGTCGAGTGGGCGGAGCGGAACGAGTGCCAGAGGTAGTAGCGGCGCGGCACTGGCGGCATTGCTGGACGTGCGACTGACACTTCTCGGCCATGTGCGGGAAGTAGCATTGCTGCCGGAGCGACTCGTACATGGTCTGCCAAGCGGCATGGCCCGACGCGGAATGCGCGACGGTGATGGCAGCATCCTCCTGCGAACTGGGGAGTACCGGGACAACAATGTCGCCAAGTACAGGAACCTTTACACTGCGACACAGAAGATCATCACGCAGGCACAGTTGGGATCGGACGGCTTTGAAGGCACTGGCGGACACAGGTGTATCATCGCGTACCTGTTGGATGGCTTCCTGGAGCTGTGGATCAGCCGGCTGCGCAGCCCGCACCTCCGCCAGTTGGAGGGGGCTTGGGACAGCAGCACTCACGGTCTCGGGAGCAGCATCCGCAGCAGCTTCTGGACATGGAGTCTTCGGCCAGGCAGGTGGGACGCGGGTCAAGCCATCCGCCTTGTTGCTGTCGGTGGGGACCCAGGCGACTACAACGTCCATGCCTGTGGTGGTGATTAGGTCGTTGACGATTTGGAGCCGGCGCTGAACGAGTACTTCGTGTAGACCACCAACACGCACACGTTGCAGGCCCCCAACGACTTGGGTCAGCCAGGCAGCCACGGTCTTCGAGTCAGTGTTCAGGATGACTCGGCGGACGTGCCATTTAACGGCGAGAGATAGGCCCTTGATGGCAGCGTCAAGCTCGGCGACGTTGATATGCCGCTTGTCCTGGACGGGGCGAAGCCAAGAAGCGTCCTCCACGATCTCTCCATCCAGCTCCAGTGCGACGCCAGTGGCCAGATTCGACGCGTCACACCACACGGCCCAGATAGAGTGCTCGCCGGCGTTAACATCCCACAGGCCGCGGACGGGATCGGCAGTGCTTAGCTTCGCAAACAGCATGTCACAGCACTCGACAACGGCAGGTGATACGGGGTCGTCCCAGGAACGGCAGTCGCCTGTAGCCAGTCGCTTCAGGTAGCTGCAAGCCGGGCGGAGCCACGCACATACAGGGTAGTGGCCAGTCAGACGTCCACACCACGCAAATACTGAACGTCGCGTCGGGCTTGTGGGCGGGGCAAGATCCATGTCACGGCGGCGCCAGATGGTGCGCCCTTGATCGTCAGTTGCCAGCTGCATGCCGAGTACGCGGGACGTCGTGAGCGGCTCCGGAGATTTCGTTGGTAGACCATACGCCGACAGTTGGGCCTTGAGTGGGCCCGTCTCGGTGGCAGGAGTACGGATGTCGTCAACGTAGTTGTCCACGGCGGGACGGTCCCGAGTGACCCACTGGACGATCAGGTGCATAAACTTCGGCGCAATCGCGAGGCCAAAGCCCATCCGGGTCATTACGAACATCTTCCCCTTCCATACGACCCCCTGGTAGCGGACGAGGGCAGGGTCGATGTGGACTTGAAGATATGCCTTACGGATGTCGAGCATGTCCCACTCACGGCCATCCGTCTGACGCCAGGCGCGGACCTTCTCAGCACAGACGGGGGCTTCGGACCCAGGCTGGGACTTCAGGAGAGCATTCAGTTGTCGATAGTCCAGGCACGGGCGGACTGGAGTGGAAGACTTATGCTCCTGTACGCGAGCCAGCAGGGGCAGCACACCTGCGATCTTCCCATGGACGCTTTCATCGTGCGGAACCAGCCAGCCGTTGGAAATCCAGCCATCGATCTCCTGACTGAAGTGCTCCTCCTGCTCCGCGGTCAACCCCTTGCGACTGTATTGACCAATGCCAGAACCCACCGGAGCTGGTGGCGGGTGACCATCGGCCCAAGCCCACGTGAGGGTCCAGCGGCGAGTACGGCTGCACCACCGGATAGTGCCGTCGCCAACGCTGAGCAGCACGTCGTCGCCGTCAGTGGTCACATTGACGTGCCGAGATGGGTGTGGGACGTCAGCATCCTTCGGCACAGCGACGGAGGCAGTGGCCTGGTCAGGACCGAACTGAACACTCTGCAACTGGCCATCGGCATAGGCTAGGCGCAGACCGCCGCTACGGCTGCTGACATCCGACCCGAGGAGCAGGTCAGCACGAACCACACTCAAATCGGCAGCAACCAAGACAGAGATGGTCTGCTCCGGAAATCGGACTGTATCGTCCATGCGTTGCAAAGTCACGGTGGCCTGGCCGAGGATGCGCAGGGGTTGTCCATCGAGGGCAAGCAGCTCGGTAAACCCGGAAGGAGCCGACCAGTGTAG